CCCTCCGTGGAAGGGGCCCCCCCCAGCCGGCAGGGCCCCCCGCAGAGCGCCGGCGGCTGCCGCCTCCCCGCCAACAGCCAGGCCGGTCTCCGCAGCCTTCGCAGCGACCGCACCTGGGACTGCCCAGCACCTCTGCCACTGCGCAACATTACCGTAAATAAACAAAACTTGGAAACCTCTTATGAATTTTTTTGCTCAGTTTTGCAGGCATATAAGACACACCGCGACGTGCATGTAGGAAAAGGAAAATTCTTGTACTTGCTGTGTCAAGCTGGGGAATCACAGGCCAACGCTCTGCCTGCTGCTCAACCCCACAGGAAGATACAAACTCTGTCTCAGGATTGCACGTCTCCTCACCGTCCCCATCGCGTCCTGCTCCTCCTCCCGTGCCTGCCCAGTTCCCAAGCTGCTCTCCCCTCAACGTTTATTTTCTCTAACTAGTAATACTGGGCCTTGGAAAACCCAGGCTGTGCAGCAGTCCGCAGAGCTGCCCTGTGCTTGCAGGCTGCTGCGGAGCGGGACTCCTGCTTGTTCTGCGAGGCAGCGTTACACTCCAACAACCCTGTAAGGCCAGGGACGGTGTTTCTTTTGACTTTATTTATTAGTCAAAAGAGGAGACAACATTAGGTAGAAAACAGGTATGGGAGAAGCAACTCAAAAATCCACCCACGACACAGACATGTAGAAAACCTGTTCTAGCTAGGGAGGCCTCAAACTTGGAACTGCACTTCTTTGATTTCCAATTTAAAAATTTCTTCTGCAGTCCCAACTGCACAGATCATGTCACTGCTACAGAAATTAGCATACTGTATCTGAACCATGCCTCCAACTACAGCCTCTACAACTTTAAACACTTCCAAGTAAAAGCACAGTTTCAAAGCTCCCTTAAAAATCTTAATTTGTTGAGAAGAAACCCTCATTGACACAGGACTGTCACAAAAGCTCGTAACTGATCCCAGTTAACGAGCCACGTGCAGGCCAGCCACCCGGAAAGGGGATGGCTCCAACTCCACGGTGCTGAGCTAACGGCGCAGGCACTGCCGCACCCTTCTCACCTTGTGCACGCAGAGCTCAGCCCTGCGCTGCCGTCCCAGCAAAGGACACATCCGCGTCCCTCAGAAAGTAACTTTGCCTGTACATCAAAACAGCAGCACAGCAAGCGGGTCTTGGAATAAAGCCACTGCAGGTGTCCAAGTGCATCCAGGATGTCCAAGCATGCTGCAGAACACTCCTCTCGAAATCAAACCTTGCTACACTCATGGTCAAACTGCAGTATGGTGAAAATATTCATCATCACTAATTGCCATTTGCCATGTACTCTGTCAGTCGTTTGCCCTCTTCAGAATGACCTTGACACTTCTATAAAAGCCTGTACAGCCCAAAAAAAAAATCACTCCTGACCAATTGAACCAAGAGCTGATGATACGCTGACATTCAGAACCGGACTGAAGAGCCCACTGCTGCCAGCAGCAGCCCAGTGACCACCCCACTTACCACTTCGTCTCCATAATCACCGTTGAGGCGCAGGGAGCTGTTCAGGAACTGGCTCTCCAGCCGGCTCTTCAACTCCTGCACTTGCTTCTTCAAGGTCTCCACTTCTTGCTGGTGGCCGGTCTCGATCTGGCGCAGGCGCTGCTGGATGACATCGGTGTAGACGGGCATTCCGTCGTCGTCCAGGTGGCTCCTGGCAGGCTGGTCGGGGCTGCTGGCTGCCTGCTGCTCACCCAGGTGACTGAACAGCCACTTCTGGGGCAAGTTCCTGAAGTGCAGCTGTGCGGAACTACAGCTAGCTGCGGAGACCTGCCGACTCAGAGAGGCCTTGGCCCTACCGTCCTCTCCGTTCACGCAGTGCCCGTTTGTCGCCGGGTACTTCTGGGTGACACTAAACCCCACGGGCTTCTCTGCCACCTTGTTCTCAGGCTCCGGCTCTCCGTTACACACCACCTCCTCTTTACATTCAGCTAAAGGCAAGGCACAAGGGGAAGGCATCGGGATGTGTGGGTTGCTGCTACCAGAAGTCCTGTGTACTTTTGTGCCCAGTTTTTGCAGCTCTAGCAGGCTCTCCTCCCCTAGCCTGTTTTCAACAGTTCGAGAAAGTTCATCAGCGCTGTTGTCGATGGGGTGAGGTCGATGGCAAGGACCCTTCGGGCTGAGCTCTTCACTCTCTGTTAAGGTTTCCGTAGAGCTGTCGATGCTGGATGTTCCTGCCTCGTGCGGGATTGTCAGAGGTAAGAGCAGGGCGGCCTGCACTGTACTGTACGGGCTCTCTGCTTCTCCTTCAAGTTCGCTAACCCCTTCTTCCTCCGCATTCTTCTGCGCGTCTCTATTTACAAAGCCCTCCAGAGGAAGGGCCTGCAGTCCCTTCACCTGAGGTAACTTCTGGACAGTGCTACCGAGATCAGCATGCTCACCCTGCTGTCCTCTCAGCGCCGAAGCGCCTTGTGCCCCTGGCTGGGGACTGGATGCTGGATTGTTCAGCGCGATACCTTTATCCGCCTCAGCCTTTTCACAGCGGTCACCGACATACCCACGCAGATGTTCAGTTCTCCTCTCCTTATCCAGGGCCACCTCACCCCCTTTACCTGCTGTCTCCAGGCTACCCCTAGAGTGCTCCTCCAAACCAACATCATCTTTAGTGGCCTCTTGCAAAATGTTCTCCATCTGCCCCTCCGCCACGCCAGCTGCAACAGAAAGCTCTGCCCCAAGCGGCGGCCTGCCTGGTCTGCTCAGGCTGTCTCCATCGAAGGGGTCGTCCCCGGGGTTCCCCAGGCTGCTCAGCTCCAGGGAGCAGCGGTGCTCGGGGACGGGGGGTGCCCCTGCCACTTCTCGTTGAGGCTGGGGTCGCTGCTACGTCGGTTGGCTGTAGGCACGCTGCTATCACAGGCTGTTGTCAGATTGTCAAATGATCTTGTCTTTGGTAACCTACAAAGGCACAAATCATCAGAATCCAAAAGCAGGGGAGGAGGTTTTTTTTTAACATTTAGCTACTACAGTTTAAAAACTCCCCCCCCCAATTAGGACAGTAACAGTCTGCTGGCTAATGGACTTCTGTGAAGTATTATCTCGGAGCACATTTCGACCATCTGTAGCGCAGAGCCGCTTCAGTACTTTCTTTCTTTGCCACCAGGAAAATATGTTCAATCAGACTTCAAACGTTCCCAGAATAATCCCTTTACCACAAAGCACAAACGCTTGCAGTCTGGTCACTCCTCCTCATGAACACGTGCTCAGAATCATTGCCCAAAACAAGCCAAAAAATGGTTATGCAACACTAAAAAAACACTCAAATTCAAGCCAACCAACCAACAGCTTCTGTCCCACGAGGATGAGGAACCCTCCACGGCGATGCAACACCCAGAGCTTCGCTCTATTTGCCAACCTTCTCTCTGTTATGCTCCCACCCCCGCAACGTCACAGCTTTCAAAACTGCAGCACGGACAGACTGCTCTTGGGCAGGTCAGTCACACCGCCCCACAAATCAGCCCCCCAAAAGAACTCCCCTCCCACCACAAGCTTCTCCTCTTTATAGCGCACAGTATTCTCTGTTGATCTTACTTTACAAGATGGGATTTTCGGGCTCGAAGC